GGGGAACTGGTAACGGGGAACGGGGAACGGCAAACGGCGAACGGGGAACGGGTGTACAGCGGTAACCCGCCTGAGAATTCAAAATGGTGGAGTAAAGAGAACTAAAAAGGTCTGGCAACTAGTTTTGAGCATGTGCTCTTCGAACGCGATCGCCGGACCAAAAAGCATGGACGATAAGTGTAGGTTTTATTGAAGGATTTTACTTTAAAATGTTGAGTGCCTCATAATATAAATTTAGTTTTTGTCTGGCACACATTGCAGGTTGCATAGAAATCAAATCCTCGGAGAATTGAGTATCTTACAATTCATGCACAACATTTGAACAATCAACTCAGAGCTACAAGCTATTTTCTTTAAATATTTACATGTTGGGTTTTGTTTAACTGATATGTTGAGTTTTAAATGACAGCTGTTTTTTTCTTTTTTAAACAGTAAGTTTTGTCGCTTAAAATGATTTCTTATAAAATTGAAAATAATGTCTAAGAAGGAAAATGCTATTTATTGCAGTGAAAGACAATTTTAACCTGGCTTGGCAGACTTTCATATTCATATTTCATGTTTTTTCATATTTTAGCATGTCTTCAAAGCTTTTTTGAGGGCCTTTCGAAGATTAAGTGTTAAATTAAATGTTAGATAACATGTTAACTGAAATGTTATTAAAAGTTCTGTCAATGTTTGATTTCTCTATTGTTTATATGGAAGTTTATGGGTCGATACAAAGATATGTTCCTGATGTTATTTTGCGGTAAGATAAGCAGATATCTGCATGTAGTAATTTTAATAACTAGGCTGATTATTACGTTTCCTAGCTCATTTCTGTTAATCTAATATATTACCTCCTTGCTACTTATCTGCAAAAAAAAAACTGTTGGGCAATGCAAACAACCAACATACCCAAACTCTGCCAAAAGATGCAGATTTCACAAAGGAAAATCAAAGAGAGACGTCAGAACAAATGGTGGCAGCCATTGCAGAAACGTTGACTTCGAATTCTCGCCTCGGAATACTAGGCTTCGTGGGTTCGCCTGGGCAATAGTTAAATAAAGCGAGTCGTCTAATTTCGCTGCAAGCGGTGACCTAGCGATAAAATCAGTGTTTGTAAATATCGTTTACTCCGCCATTTTGAATTCTCAGGTGGGTTACCGCTGTACACCGGTTCCCGTTCGCCGTTCCCCGTTCCTCGTTCCCCGTTCCCCATTCCTAATTTTAGTAACATCCAATACAAGTGCATTCATTTCAGCTGACCTTTACCTTGACGTGACAAATAAAATTATCCACGTCAGTAGCGAAACTGGATCTCTGCGGAAATCTTGAGATAGTCTTTGAATTTAAAAACAACCTTATAGATATTTAGACTTACTAAAATAAAATCGTACGTTATGATAACGCTCAACATGCGCCCTATTTCCCAAGAACTACTCAGACAGTCCTTCTTAATATCGAAACAATGCCATTTAGAGTTAACCAATTTCTTTAATTAACTTGTCTATCATGCATGTGGGATGCAACAAATCTATCTTTGAATCCGATTGAATCTGAACTTTGTTCTCTGAACCTTAAAAATCTTTTTTTCTCGGAAAGCCAAAGCTAAAACCAAAGAGGAAAAAAAAAAAAAGAAAACGTAGAATTGGTTGACCATGTGTAATTCCAATGAACTTAGAGATGCTCTCAATGGATCTTGGCGTTGATTTCATTTCATTCCTGATACACTTCGAGATATTTCCTTCCGGCTGATCTCTGATAATAGGTTCTGCAGTACTTAACAAGTAGAATTACAAGTACCATGTTTCCTGAGTCAACGAGTAGCTGGGAAACGAGCATGAAACAACTGGTCATTTTACTCCTCTTTCAAGCATAAAAAATAGCTTTCTCTCTACCTTAGCCTTGTAAACGTGGCTTGGGTTTGAGAGTGAGAACAAGCACACACCAAAAACTCTAGCAAGAAATGCTGATTCGTTATTCTATTAAAAAAAAAAAAAAAAACTGAACGATCGACTTTTAGTTTACGTGAACAGCGGTATATCTTGGGGTAGCAAACATTAGTCTGTATTTTCCGGCAGGTGACTTTTTTGTACTGAATTTTCACCTTGCTTAATGAAACTAGCGAAAAAATAAAACCAGTTAAAAAATGAAATACGAGAATAAAAAATGATATCTGAGCTTGAGCGGTACTGATCGGGAATTTTGAGTGGTTTAAAGGCTACATTTTTAGCACATGGAGCTTTCACTTTTCTGAATGGTTGTACTCCCCCATGACACCCGTAAGAGGCAATTACAAGAGTACTTAAGAACGAGTCTTTGTAAGAATCAAACCTCTTGGGAAATGAAAATTTTCAACCCCCCTTCAAATTTTGCATGCAGTTAGGCACTCTGGGGAAGGTTGATCAATTTTTTTTTTAAATATAAAAGTTAGAGGCAAGATTTCTCTTCGGGAAATTGCTCAGAAGATAACATTCTTTCAAAGTCTCGCACTTTTCATTTGTCTGAAACGTTTGTTGTTGAGAACATTAGATGTAAACATTGCCAATTTATTAAATATCTGATTTTGGAGCTTCGTTCGCGAATTGCCACCATGAAAAGTAGAGTCCGGCCCGCAGAGATTTTTACATATTTAAAAACTAGAATATTATAACCAACTAAGTGCGTAGTTTCAGTTCCAGAATCGGTGTACTTTTGAAGAAATTTAGACAAACGTTTACTCAGTTTTACCCTACAGAAAAAATGACCGAAACTGTACCAAGATAAATAATCTATTGGTGTGTTCACATTCATCCCCAGGGAAAATTGAATGCATCAAATTAAAGACGAATGAGGTCATTATGTATGCTAGAAGTACCAATCTAGCTTGAGATAGAGAAATAAACATTTAACACTTTTTTTGCGATGTTTTTGTATGAAAATAAGGCCCCAGGCCTCGAACAAGCAGCCGTTGTTACCATGGTAACAAGAGTGCTGCAACCTTTAAAAAGAGCATTTTTGTGCATCCCCCCTGATTGCCTATTTGCATACAAAATTTGAAGGGGCGTTGAAAATTTTCATTTCCCAAGATGTTTGATTCTTACAGACACGTCCTTAATGAATGACATTGAACAGGTGATCTGTGTTCCGCGACTGACCCAACCTCTACCTACGTATACGACCAAATCTGTCCATATTTGAAACATACACCTCTTTAGCATCGCACAGACTCTGAAAAAAGCCGAAGGTGTTGGATGAGGCCGCATAAAAAGGAGATAAGAGAGGAAAGTATCTAGCCTTTACCTTAAATAAAGTTTTTGATGTCGATCCAAGCGAAAAAAAAAACCAAATGAGATTTCCATCGCAGACTGAAAAAATATTCGAGGGCACATTTTTGCAATCTTTCGAACTGACAATTATAAGTTTTGGTTAGCCTGAGCACTTTAAAGTTCTGTTCTTGGAAGGACTCGAGTTCCATGGGTTTAGTTTTTTGCATGTGTGCTTGTTGTTTGAAGAAGCAAGTATTCTTCGAGTAAGCGAGGGGAACATTTTCATTTCTTCTATTGCAATAACTCGATCATTTATGTGAACCCACGTGGATGTAGTCAATGGATGGTATGCTGATCCTGACCTTCGTACACTTGATTGCCGCTATTCTCAAAGAACTTATTCGAGTGCCTCTTGTACTTAAGTTAACCTTACGTCGTTGTCAATGTAAAATCAGGTTGGACTGGCTTGCAAGGGTTAAATTCAAGCTAAAATAAAAACATTCTTCAGTTAGTCCAACTGGACTCTCGTTAGAAAATACATGTAGTCAAAAAGAAGTTTTGGAAAACCACGCCAGTTATGTGCATATTGTTATAAACAGGTCAAGAAGCTATGGAATTTAAGGAACCAATACGCTTGAGAAAATAAAGCTTCATTCGCCATATTGGAAAAAAATTGAACTGAGCCTGAGCATCTTATCAGCCTTGCCTATTCGTTCCCGTGTGGATATCACACTTGCAATTGCGATTTGGTTTGCGTTTGCGAATTAGTGTAATTCAAACTAAGGATTATTACAAATGCTAGCCCACGGTAATCCCTCGACAACAAGGGCGTTCAAACTTAGCCAACCTTGTTTGAAGACAATCGGATCTCGATAGTGGGTATTCTGTTTCCTTTTTCCCCCCATACATAACCTTTTTTTGGATCTTTGTCAATCACAATCAATCTACCCTCTGTGATGGCCTTGATGAAACGAATTTCGAAGAATTTTATATCTTTTCTATTTTCCCATATTAAGGTGAAATTTGTAAATTTGATATCTTTTATTTCTCGTAATTGCTCTATTGCCTTTTGTCAATATCAAGAGTTTTTTCATGTAATAGTATCAACCCTTTCATTTCAAATGCGATTAAGCACTCTCCTCCTTCCGTTGAGTATGCAAGTTAGGAAACCACGGTATGATATTAATTTGAGTCATGATGTCAACTTAGTGAAAGTCTGTTGTCCGATCGCGCCTGCGCTTTAACTTCTTGAACCTTTCTTTCACCTATATTTATCTTGAAGAAAAAAATTAATTTTCCCATTCTACCAGCGGCACCACAGAGCTCCTTGACAGAATAAAGTGTCACATGGGAAATAATCAGCTTCAAATGTAAGTCACACTTTGAGTCTGTTGCGAAAGGCCGAGGCAAACATGCAAAAGGATAAAAATAGATTTAAACTGGGGTCATTGTCTAGAGCGCGGTCAGACGTCATTCAATGAAAAAAAGAAAAAAAAATCGTCATGATCAATACATAGCGTTTCGATTCCTTGACGATATACAAATTTTATGCTTAATCTACTTTACCATGGCTAGAGCGAACTGAATGCTAATCAAAGCAGTTCCTGAATCATTAAGTCGCAAAGAAGGCGTGACTGATTCAAGTTACGCAAGGATTAATTATCTGTTATTGAACGATAAGCCTTTTAGCGGTAAGTTACAATTTCCTGGTTTAATAACGAAGATTGATTAAAAGACGCCATTCCTGACAACTTACTTGACCTTCTTGATATTTCCATATTGTTTTCTACTTTTGTTTTTTTTTTCCAGAATTACTTGATTTCAAAATACGCCTCCTATTTGGAAGAATAACACATCGATACGAAAATGATAGGCTGCATTGTTTTCTTCAATGTGCAGTTTAACTAAACGAGTTGATTTGCCAACTCAAATAAACTTTAAAAAGTATAAAACAAAAACGACGAGCCAATATATTTGTCATGGTACTGCTTTCCTCAACGCTTAATAGCAAGCCGCACGCATCGAATTTCATCGATTTTTTTTACGTTCCCACCGATACATTAGAGAGCAGAAAAACTAAAATCTTCCTTAAGGGGAGAATTGTTTTATACAAAGTTTTAGCCCCAACCAAGCGTTAATTTCAAGGATTTGACAACACTAAAGTGCGGCGTCGATGCCATCTCGATTTTCAGTGGAACCGAAAGATTTATTAGGCGTGAGGCACGCTTGGCCAGAGGTCAATTACAAACATTAAAGGTTCCCGTTGTAAGTTCTAAGTTCCTCGACTTCAAAGAAGTTCTCCTCTCTCAAACCGAGGATGTACTAGCTCGTATATATAGCTTCCTTCTTTTGAAACAAGACATAAACCAATCCAAACGGGCGAATTGCTCCTCCAAGAATGACTGTCTAAAAAATCACAGTTTACAGGTGGTTTTTAGGTTAAATCGCTCTAGAAACGTCGGAGGGGTAGCTTTGTAGCAGAATTTACCTACAAATTCCTTCACCTTAAAATGAGAGAACAATTTTCATGTAACTTAAAGCATATGTACCACAATCTACGACCACTTGAGATCTTCTTGGCTACGACTGAATGATTACTTTCACTTGACCATCGTTTACTTAGCATCAAATAACAGAACAACTATACCTTTGAAGCTTCTTGAGAGTGTTGTTTCCACAAATATACTTTCTGACAAGCGGCGTGCAATACAAGACTCGAAGAGAATCAGCGTTTAAGCAAGAAAATGTCGACGATACCACTGGATGTACGTCATCCGTAGAAACTCAGTAAACGTTTAGGGCAGAATTTGACTAAACCCACTAAAAAAGGAATGCAAAGAGATTAAGTTCTAGCTATTTGATTTTTAAAGATGACAGAAAGTGACTGCAAGAACCAATAGCGAAGAAGGAACTTTGCTTACCGGTCTTTCCAAAATCCGCACTTCAGGACAGTTTAGTTTTCGGTCAAAGTATATTGACGAAAAACGCGAATTTCGACAGCTGCACTTTGGAGAAAAACAGGAAACTACTGGCCAACTGAGTTATAATCACGTGCCACGACAATCGAAGTTCAATGTTGAGAAGATGGAAGAAACTTGATCTGTGTTTACCCAAGTTCGTGAGCCGGAATAGACACAATACTTTCGAGGCTGTTCGGAAAAAGCGATTTTCAGTATGTCCGAGAAGCTTATCTTTCGGGTTTCAATATTTGATTCACACGTTTACGCTCTGTACAGTTTCTTTATATTTCTCGTATTAAAACTTGAATTTTGTAAACATAACATTTCTTCTATCCAAATCACATTCAGATGGTTTTGCAATATGCAAAAATATATCCGAAAGGTTTTCCAAAATGCTTAAACCAGATGGTGTATATTCGAGTCAAAGAGGTTGGAATGAAAATCTGTAATTAATTTTCTTTAATTCCAACTTAATCGTTTTTCCATCACTCCTGGAGACGCAGTGATCAAAGAAGAAAATGCTTATAAAATCTCCAAAATTGTGGTTAAACTGTTTGTTTTGAATAAATTCTCGACCAAAATCTGTAAAATCCGGGCTGTGATTTGCTAATTATGGATTACCTTAATATGATCAACTGGAAGCACCAGTTCCTTGTAACAGACTACGGAAAACGTTGCCAAAATATTTTACAATGACCTAGGGTAAATCGCTGAAAGACTTCCTTATTAAAGCCAGTAATCTTTCATTGTCGTTTGTTTTGTGTTGTATTGTTGTCGATTTGAGTAATTGAAACACGGAGTGCATAAACGCAAAGAGAGAATGGCAACCGTAACGTTCTGATGAAATTGCCCATCCCAAATAAATACCGAAATTAAAGATTTCACACTTTAGTCTAGTTTTTGAGAACTAACGATCCTTTTGGCGGGAAACAATTGAGATCATTGTTTAAACACAGAAAATCAATGATTCAATAGATCAATTAGTTAAATGAAGTCAAGCAGATAATCACTCCCTTCATTAATCCGTATGTTCGTCCGTCCGTCGGTCCGTCCTTCCATCCATCCTTCCATCCATCCACAACCACAACTCCTTCAATTATCACCATTATGGTTTCGTCTGTTAGCAATTAATAAAATGGGATAAATTTCTATTTGTGACTGTCAGTGACTCTTGGATTTCAATGAACCGGTTTGCCGAAAGACTGATAATCATCTCCTTTTCGTCAGCTCATTACTCGTCCCAATCAGATTTCGATAAACTTGACTGGCCAGTGTTAATATACCCTAACACCGGCTGTGTCTGCCACCAGCAATGTCTGACACCAGCTGTGTCTGACACTAGCTGTCTGACATTAGCTGTGTCTGACCTCAGCTGGGTCTGACACCAGCTATGCCTGACATCAGCTGTGTCTGACACCAGCTGTGTCTGACACCAGCTGTGTCTTACACCAGCTGTGTCTGACACCAGCTGTGTTTGACACCAGGTGTGTCTAGCTGGTGTTCCATACATGTATATTTAATAAGTGAAGTGGTGTTACGGCTTCAACATAGGGTTTGCTTTTCCACTAACAATGGTGTTTGTAATATTTCTCTGCTGTCGCAAGTATTTTACCATCCACACATTTCTAGCTCAATGATTACTGTCTTGCTCTAAGAATATTTTTTTTTGTAATTAATTCATAAATATACGTATATTGCCCTAGTTTGATCTCATTCTGGAACAAAGTAATGTTTTGGTGTTATTTTTCGGAAAAACAAACAAAACAAAAACAAATCGCCCATTCGCATAGTGAAACTAAAAAGCTTTTGCTACCCTGATAATTGTCTCATTTAGGTATGCCAGCAAGCTCACAGCTCACTTTCCAAAGTCTCTTCTGAACATCTTCCCTGTATGACTCATCTGAAGATTGTGTTGACTGACAGTTGACGAAATATCTACCTCCCTTGCCTTCTAATTCGGGAGATAAGGCAACGTAAATACTGTTGTCTGCCCCTTGCTGAGGAGTCTGGAAGAAATAGTATTTACCGCTTGGTAAGCCTGCATACCGTATATTTCTTACCTTGCTGGCCGCAAAAAAGAAGGCAAGCAACACTACACAAGTGTGGAGACTTTTGTTCATCTGAACCCCTCTCCAAAGGAAGGGGCGTGGTGAGGCGTGCCGCGAGATGGGAAGGGGTAATTGGTATAGCAGTGAAAGGAAGAGAAAACATTATCGCTTCTCATATATATTTACCGTATAACTGCAGACAGTACTCTTTCGGCCTTCTGGGCCTCATCAGTGCAATGCTGATTCTAAGATGGTGGTTAAGCTTTAAAGCCACCCCAAATGATTCCACATTTGTGATACCATTTAAGCCATGCCACAGTGCTCAAACTAGAAACTAGTGAGCTTCGCAGAATTGCACAAAATGACTCATCCTACTGAAGTGCTCGATTTGGACATAAAAGCAAAGCTTTGTAATGCCAAAGAGCTATATCTAACGGCAGACAATACTGTTTCGGCCTTCCGGGCCTCATCAGGGGCCTATATTTTCCGTATATTTTTCTATTCATTAGAGGTGTTTTTGAAATCTGTAAATTAGCACAACTTCTACTATTTCATTTTTTCAGTAGCCTGCAGAGCAGGCGTTCAAGTAAAGTTGGGCAAAAATTAGACCGCGCGAAAAATGGAACGAGGCGATAAATTTTCGCCTCGCTTCATTTTTCGCGCGGTCTAATTTTCGCCCAAACTTTACTTGAACGCCTGCTCTGTAGGCTATTTTTCCAGCTTTAGACCTTTTGTTTGAGAGAACATTTTGACGACTTTATTCTCCTGAGCTCGTAGCTTGAGGTCAGTTAACCATGTTTGGGACTATGTGTCTTGAAACTAAGCACTGACCGCCGCCCAGTTAGCGCAATGGATAGTGCGCTGGACTGTTTGTGCAGGAGGTCGAGGGTTCGAGCCCCGGCCGGACCAACACTCAAGGTCTTAAAATAATTGAGAGGAATTTGCTACCTTTCTATAACATCAAGAAATGGTTAGATATTCTAGTCTTCTCGGATAGGGACGAATAAATGGAGGTCCCGTCTCCTGCAGGGTTGGGGTAGGAGACGTTAATTTCCCACACACGAGATTACTGCGTGATGGATTTCCTCCCCTGGGGTGGGATGGTGGGATGTACAGGCCCCCATTTAAACCAGCTTCAAGCTGAACTGGGCTGGCTTGTCTAAACATCGTAAATACATAAATACATAGGTCTCCAGAGGAGAGATGCTTTCATTATTCTAACGCAAAGTCTTACCTTGAAAAGAAAATAAGCTAATATATTCTGAGGCATTCTCATTATCCAGGGAATATGCTGGAACAAATCAGTGTTGACTACTCCTGGATGCACTGCATTAGCTGTCACAGGGCTCTTTCTCTCCTCCAAGCGCTTCTGAAGTTCATAAGTGAATAGAATGTTCGCTAGCTTGCTTTGACTGTAACCTGAATAGGGTGAGTAATAACATCTGTGAGGGAAAACAGAAAGTAGTGTTAGTAATTCCCCAATTGTGTTTCCGTTCCCAGCCAAACATCCCCTCACCCCACGGGGTGATTGGCTAGAACTGACAAGATGGCAGAACAGTGAACCTCCACTGAGGACCCAGTAATTCTATTAGCTAACCCAGGGTTAAATTTTAATCTGGATTTCTTTTTTCCTTTGTGCAGAAACTTTTTCGGTACATAATTTTCTCTATTATTTTTAGAGTATCCAAGCATCAAATTCTAGATAAAAAGAATTATATATACTGAATTTTCTTTGAAGTTTTAAGATCTGAGAGCAGATTTCATGATAACCCCCAGATATTTGATGGGAAACTGAGTTTTAATGAGAAGCTTAGTTTTCTTGGACACAAACAAATGAGGATTTCTTTTCATGACTAATGTAAACGCCAGTGTAGTTCATTACATCAACTACTTATTAATTTATAATTGCTTGGGCAATGCACCTGAATCTTATGATAAAAATCCAACAACTAGAACATGGCTTATGAGTACCTACATGCTCTGGAGATCATCAAAGTTTATAGTCCCTGGGATGTGTGCCTCAGAAGACAATGTGACAATCCTTGAGGATCTAACTGATGAACCAGACCTGATGAAAAATGTGATATCTTTTTCACATCTATTTGTTTTATCTATTAAAAAGCCAAATGTTGTTAATGGTGACAGACTCAATCTTTGCATCTGATCTCCAATAGATCACGAGCAGGAACTAATCAAAATACATGTAGGTAATATTCAGTGTATTGTAAAATCAAGAAAAATTGACTGGTAAATTGAGTCAATTCAGTCAACCACTTGCTAATTAGCTCACCTGATCAAGTCATCCAAAAGCAGATTTGTCAGAGCAAAATGTCCAAGATGGTTCACTCCAAGTTGAAGCTCAAATCCATCTTCGGTTGTGCCGTAAGGTGGGATCATTATTCCTGCATTGTTCACAAGAATGTGAAGAGGAAGTCCTTTTTTCTTGAAATTTGTTACAAATTTCCATATCGAGGTGAGACTTCCCAGATCAAGTTCCATGTATTCCACTGATTTGCACGAAGAAAAACGAGAAAAACCAAGAGTGATGATCAAATTCACTGTATCAGGTATCACATAACAAAGTTCAACATCAGCAACAGAAAGCTTAGTATATTCATAAGTGGTCGGTACCTTCAGCTTGCGGCAACTCTTCCTTTAGTTTTCTGATTGCTCTCTCAGCTTCTGCTGTATCTCTGCAAGCTTTAGACCAAATCAACATCTTTGAAACACAATGAAGTAGTAATTTCAACAGCTTTTTAAAATAACAAAAAATTTAACCCAGCCTTTAATTCCCAAGATCTGATTGTTAAATAAATTCTCTCCTCTAGCTGCTACACATTTCTTTGTTAGTTAGTAACAAGAATTTGGTTTGATCAAGATAACAACATCTGCCTGCTGATAAGTTTGAGTATTCTCATTACCTGTTTACTGGATAATGTATGGAATATTATGAGGAGAAGTTACATATTAATCACTTCTGGGAGTTCAAGGGTTAAAAGTGAAAAAAGTTTGATTTTACCGTCTTGACCGATCAGTTCTTAATCAAGGTAAATTTATGTAAATTATTGCTTACTCCTTAATTTTCACACAACAAACAGTACCTGTATTAACCCTCTACATGTACATTTTAATCTTTAACTCCTAAAATGATGGGTGATCAAGACAGAATTTTGCCTTACAATATCAAATAACAATACAATATCAAGTAGACAAGTGATGGGAATAAAGAAAAATATTAATTAGGAGATTATTAGTTGATGCAATATCAAACTCTTTGGAATACCAGTAACATAAGAATTATGTTTGGGAGACAGTAAGAAGAATTATTAATGAGATCTTGAGGGTAAAAGGGTACATGCTATAAAATAAAAAAAAAATTGCAGCATGAACACAATTAAAGTAAATGTGAAAAGCTTTGAAGATGAAAAAATTAAAGTAACATGATCCAATAGCATTCCAGAGGAGGGGGGTGTACTTCGGATTTCAAATGACAGGAGGATCAAAAGATATTTTTGGGTTTGAAATTTTCCATTTCAGGATTTCTTTGCATAGGAAAATTTTTGCAAGTCTTTTTTTCGGGTAGCTTGATTTAAGTAGGCCAGGATATTTTTTGGTATACAAAACAATCTGAAGATTAGAGATAGTTCCCGCATGTAGTTCCGTATATAAAGTAAAACCAAACTTGTTTTGCCACTGTTTTAATATTTAATGCCTTACACTTTTTGGTATAGGATTTTTTTTAAGGTTCAATTTTGGTCCAGGGAAATTTTGGGGTTTTCTTTGAAGCCCCAGAAGTTTAATTGGGTTTTGATTTTTGTCCCCATTTTATCATCTCTGTCGCTTGAAATCTGAAATATCCCCCCCCCCCTTTAGAATCTTTAATATTTTTTTCACTTCAAAACATTGGATAAATCCAGAAAATTATTACCAATAATAACTGTCATCTGTGCCTTGCAAAGCCCTCTAACGGTTTCAAGACCAATACCCTTGTTCCCTCCAGTTACTATGGCAACCTTTCCATCCAAATTAGGAATCACTGTAAACGAGAAAATCTAATCAAATTAGACGTAAAAGAAACGTGCTATGAGCTTTGAAAGAGGGGAAGGGTGGGTTGAATGAAGGGCTAACGCTCGAAACTTCAGCTTTTGTAATCATTACAGTGGCCAATTTACCATTTCAACTTTGTTGATATATCCAAATTATTTCGTTACTCCCACCGACGCAGCCCCAAACAGTTTCTTTCGAAACTATCAGCCCTTATTCATTTGCAGTTTTATAGATGTTTTGACAATAAAAAACCTTGCTGTCTTTGCTAAATTGCTTCATTTTTTCAACTGAAAGGGGCAATCTTAGCACTCTTGTCAGGTTAAACAATCTCCGGAGGGCTAGTTGGCAATCTTTCATGGCACACAATGACACAAACAAGTGCAGGTGATTCAAGCAGCATAACTGAAAACAGGTCGGAACTTGATGTGAATGTACTTAGAGATTTTCTCTTGTTGGAACTTGGCATCTTCTCATGACAGGTAGCAATTCAGATATTAACACTGACACAGAAGTAATGGATGTAGACACACCCTTGATGATGATGAGCCAATGATGTAGTATGAAACGCCTCCCCGGCAGTCAGCTCAATTGGTTAGAGTGCTGGACTGTTGTTGAGGAGGTTGAGGGTTTGAGCCCCAGTCAGACCAACACTCAAGGTCTTAAAATAACTGAGGAGAAAGTGCTACCTCTCTATGATATCAAGAGATGGATAGACATTCTATTCTTCTCAGATAAGGACAAATAAAGTTGTAGGTCCCGTCTTCTGCATCCCGGCATTAATTAGTTAATTTGGTTAGGCAGGGGATATCAAATAGCCCACTCATGAGATCACTGTGATGTGGTCAGGCCAGTTTACTGGGAATTGGGGGTAGCTTGCGAATATGTCTGTTATAAATGTTGCAGGATGATGTATGTAAAATGTAATATGATTGTACATATTTGTAAGAAGTGTTATAATGATAATAGTAAATATTGTGTGAGATATAAATAAAACAAAATGAAGAAAAAATAAAAGAAGACATGGTGGTGATAATGATAAGGATTATGATGTATAATAACTTAAGGATAAAAGCACAATCTAAATTGAATCAATTTCAAGAGCTCTTGCAATGGTTAATGGAGTAATTGAGTAAACCAATCATAAAGGGGATAAATTGCATGTAGCATGTTCATCGGTCTTTATATTATTTTTTCTTTTTTGTTTTTGGTTTTAAATAAGCTGAATCGAATTATCAAAAAAGTGTAGTACAGGATCTTGCAGCTGGATAAAAATTGCAATAATGTTTGACGGAAATCAACTTACCTTCAAGACAATTGTGTTTAGAAAAAACTTGCTTCATGAGGACTTTAGTGCCATTGAAATAGTTCATAATCATTGCGCTTGCCATAACTAATATTAAAAGTCTGGACTGATAATAATAGATCCTAAAGTATTGTTTTCTAAGTAAGTAACTAGTAATGTTTTGTAAAGATCTAATATTGCGTGACAAGCCTGTCACAATAGTGAGAGGGGTTCTCGATACCAGTCCCACGTCAGGGAGAACAATACCAATGGTTGATCGAATCGCCATTGATTAATTGATCCTCGTACGGGACACTTTGAGAATTATTAACCCGAAAAATCTCATCTTTCCAGGAACAAAATTGCTTCATGACAAGACAAGTTACCATTTCGTTTTTCCGTAGAATGTCGACGGAATCTATGGTCATACGAAGTACATTTAATTCGTCATTTGCACGGTGCTCATTCAGAAAAAGAACATTACAACGAAGCAAATTATGCCTCTCATTGTTAAAGTTAACCCTGGTAACGTTCTAGGGAAATATCCAGACATCGCATCGCCTGATGGCCTTATTTCTCCACCGCCGACAGAAACAGAATTGAAAGAAACTTCACCGCTTCTGCGTGAAAAAATTAAGGTGAAACAACGTGAATTTAGGAAGGCTGTTTCGCAAAAGATCAGGCGAAAACTTCGAAACATGAGGCGAACTGCAGTACTGATGCTGATTTTGATCGAGGTTTTTGAACGTTTTGCATACTATGGGATACTCATAAACTTCGTTTTATTCCTGAACAAGTGTTGTGGTTGGACTATGTTTTTGTCTGTGGCGAGTGTAATGGCATTTTCATCAATATCGTGGTTCATGTGTGCTCTAGGAGGAATCATGGCCGATTCGCGTTTTGGTCGCTACAATACTATCGTAAGTGGCTTCCTGGTTTATTTTATTGGTGCCCTAACTCTTGTACTTGTGGCCTTTTTAATGGGATATTTTTACTTCGAAAATGGGCAACCTCGAGATAGAATAGACCAGCCTCGGATTTTAATTATTTTACTCGTGGCGTTATTAAGCATTTCAGCTGGAGAGGGTGCTGTAAAAGCGAATTTATCTGCTTTTGGGGCAGACCAGCTCAAGAGAGATGCGCCCGTGCAGGAGAACAAGGTGTTATTTAATTACTTTTATTGGATGTCCAATGTGATTTCGTTGCTGTGTCTGGCTGGTGTTACATATATTCAACAACTGAAGTGGTTTTACGGCTTCACCATAGGGTTTGGTATTCCTGCTTTTTCACTAACGATGGCGTTTGTAATATTTCTTTGCTGCCGTAAGTATTTTACTATTGATAGAACTCGCGGCACGGGTCTTAGGAACATGTGGCTTATTGTGCGTCAAGCCTGGTCTAGGAGGAAAGCTGTTAAAGTGGAAGAGAGGTAGTCATTCAGATGAAATATAAAGATAGAGATTGAAGTAAATTAAATAATAAAATTATTGAATAAATAATAAAATAATTTATCTGGTTATTTATTTAACCTTGTTTATTGCCTTTTGCTCTTTTAAGAGTCCATCGACCAATCAATCACTTTTTTCAATTTTAATTGAAATGGTACATCTAAATTAAAAGCTCCCCTGTCATACTGGCTAGTGGAAATAAAAAACCACAGCAAAACTGATTTTCTACTATTCTGTGGCTAGTTGGCGCAGAGGAGCAGGGTTGGTGTAGTGGTGAGAGTGCTCGCCTTCCACCAATGTTTCCCGGGTTTGATTCCCGGACCCAGTGTCATAAGTGGATTGAGTTTGTTGGTCCTCTACTCTGCTCCGAGAGATTTTTCTCCGGGTACTCCGGTTTTCCTCTCTCCTCAAAAACCATCATCATTTGAATTTATTTAATTTAGAGTTTATTTAGATTTACACACGACCCCACAAGCTGTTCAGCTTTAAAAATTATTGTGTCTAAATAAAGGTGTTATTATAATTATTATAGTTGGCTACCATTAGTGTCAAGCCCAGAATGATGTAGACATCTTTTTTCCTCTTTCCTGTATTGTTTATTTGCTTCCTTGTATTTATTCAGTTATTTTGTTTTGTTTCTCTTTAAGGGAATTAGTTCCAAGAAGTACCTCAGAGAGTGATATTTCTCCAAGTGATGGTGACTGGCTCGACATGGCATTGGTGTCTTATGGTGGAACATTTATGGATTCTGAAGTGAATGAGCTAAGGGCACTGAAGAAAGCTGTTCTGTTTTGTCTGCTCTTGATTCCATACTGGATGATTTATACTCAGGTAACTTTGAATATGGGGTTTTAAGATGTGTTTCAAATATTGAGCTAAAAGTCTTTTGGTGATGTACAGCCCTTCTGCAAAGACGTTGTCAGTTTGGTGTACATGCACACTTCTGATGACACAGTTTATACTTCTGATCAAAGAAGATTGTAAATTGACTTCAATTCAAAGTTTGTAATAGGATAACACTATTCAGTGATGATGATTTATACAATTGGAATCAACTGGTCAATCACTTGATAAGTCTGTTAGCAAAAACAGGTTACAAGAAAGGAAGATTGCAGATTCCGCTATACAGAATGGCTACTGGCCAGCGCACTTTTTCCTATAGAGGGGCGAACATTTGGAATAACTTGCATAAAGAACTTAGGCAAAATGCCTCATTGGCATCTTTCAAGCATGCTCTGCAAGACACTATTGAGGCAGACATTTCCTTTATAAGCTCTAGAACTTGGTGGAATACTATCTTAAATTCTGACCATGAGTTTTATTGTTGTTTATGTTTTTATAAATTGTAAAAAGTTTGTAAATAGTTTCTGAAAAACTTCATGAGGATGTTACTATTAAAGATGATGAAGAAAGCGAGACAGAAAGACACAAAGTCAAGAAGCATTCAAACTAACATTTGGTTGATGGTTTGGTTTGCAATTAGGTCAGTCATTTGGTCAGTCAGCCAGCCAGTCAGCGAGTCAGTGGGTCAGTCAGTCTGTCAGTCAGTTGTTCAGTCAAAAAGTTTGTCTGGTGGCCAGTCAGTCAGTCAGTAAGTCAGCCAGTCAGTCACTCAGTCATTCTGACCACCAATCAAGCAATCAGTCAGTCAGTGAGCCAGCCAGTCAGTCAGTCAGTCAGTAAGCTAGCCATTCAGGCAGCCAGTCAATCAGTCAGTCAGTTAGTAAGTCAGTAAGTCAATTCAGATATTAAGTCAGGTGGCCAGTTAATCTAGATATCAATCAGTCACTCAGTCAGTCAGTCTTTCAGCTGGTCAGTTGGTCAGTCAGTTTCTTATTCAGTCAGTCAGGCAGCTACTTTCTCAGCCATGTGGTGATCAGACAGTCTGTAAGGCAGTTCAATCAGTCACTTGGAGTCCTCATTGTACATCTGTGTTCATCACTGCACAGGACATAAGGGGGGCCAAATGGCAATCTTGAACCCCTTCACTTCTACAAGGATGTACTGAGGGCATCCTGTATCAGATTACTCATACAGTGTAATATGCTTAAGCATAGTATTTGTATAAGTACTTTCATACATTGAAAAGACAATTAAACTGGTAGGTCTGGTGAAGACTGGTACACTTGGAATCAGATACATGACAAAATAGCAGACAAAACACATTTTTGTTCATCATGCACATATCATCGGCCCACTCAGGGGAGAAAAAATGGCTGGTGGTGAAAGGGTTGAAAAATACTATGTTCCTATTGAAAATATTCATATTTTCAATTTTGACTGAATTTCATTTATTTTTATTAGCTTTACAGCACGTTTATCCTGCAAGGTCTTCACCTCAATGCAGAATATGGAGGGTTTATTTTTCCCGCTGCTTGGCCAAGTCTCTGCGAGATTTTAATTCTACTAATCCTTGTTCCGTTGCTGGAGAGAGTTATCTATCCCAGCCTGGCTAGGTGTGGTGTTAATGTCTCCATCCTTGGAAAGGTCATCTTAGGAATGTTACTGGCTGCTGGTTCAGCAGGAATGGGTAAGTTCAAATCTGAGGCAGATCCAGGGTTGGTTCAGGTGGTTTAGTCAAACCCTTANCTCTGTAACTTTGATCTATGTACATTATCCAAGATTCATGGCATAATTTATAACCTCTATGCATAGGTATTTTTATTTGGCTGTATAACCTTATTTTTAGTGATCATGACTTGTTGATATAACTTACTCAGATAAACTATTTGATGTTAATTCTAGGACTTCAGATGGTATTCACCATGTGCTCAGCCACACCACAGAGTGTGACATCTGCAGTGTTCAACATCATGATAAGTATTGGAAGTCTGCTGAGTCTAGGCATTTTAGCACTCACTGCTAATCTTTGGGGGTGGTACCCCAGAGCCAGGGAAGGGGCTCTGAGGTACTACTTGGGTAATGGCAAGGTTGCCTACTATTACTGGCTGTTGGCAGTAGTTATGGTTGCAACAACACTTCTGACCTGTATTGTAGGATGTGGTTATGATATTGGGCCTGACAGAAATGGAATTAAGCATCAGGTGGCAGTTAACGAAGAGACTTCGAGACACGGTCAGCTTCCAAATGCGGGGGTTGATTAAAACAATGACACATTTGTGGAGTTGAGCTCGTGAATATTTTGACAAAATTGTGTTGAATGTTTTACAATTTTTTTCTTAACTTGGAAGTGCAATATTATTATTTTTATATATATATATATATACTTGAACATTGTGACTCTGGCTTTTTAAATTAAATTAGATCTGTGCTACAGAAATAACCACCAAACAATGCTAACCATCGAGTCGTTCAATAATTTGTAAGGATTTAAAGGAAAATCATAGTAATATACAGTGTAAATATCAATACTGATTACAAAATGACTTGACTCGGTGAGAACCTGGTATGATGCGTTTGATTAAACTTTTGCTGCAACGGCAGTAGCATTAGAGTCATTCTGTTTGGTTTTTTGTCCAAGTGAAGAATAATATTGATATTGGAGATAGGGAACAAGAAATTGTAGAAGTGAAATGGTAATGATAAAGTGATAATGACGATGACGATGACGATGATGATGATGATGATGATGACGATGACGATGATGATGACGATGATGATGACGATGATGATGACGATGACGGTGATGATGATGACGAAAACGATGACGATAATGATGATGATGATGATGATGATTATTATAATGATAAGGATAGTAATGATTATGACAACGGTAACGATAACCGT